AAACAACCATCACCAGAATCCAATTACCAAATCCCTTCAGGTAAACAATCTTTCTAACATGTGCAAAAACAACAGGAGCAGTGAATAGAGATAAGAGTTGTTTTCTCCTCTCTGTGCTTCTCACCGCCTTCCCAGGGAAAATCCTTGGGAAAGCTTGTGCCTGCTGCTCTCTGTAAAGAGAGCTGAGCCACAGTATGTCCACCTGAAAAGCAAAACTCATGGTCAACTCAGCACCTCCTCCAGCAGCAGCTTTGTGACAAGAATCCTCCAAAAATACACACACTATTTCCCAGTACAGGGGAATTGACCCTGCAGTGTGACCCAAGTATGTGCCTTAGGAGAAAGGCAGCAATCAGGCAGAAGATTGTCGTTGAGAAATTGCCTTTCTCCTTTAGCCGTGGGATGCAATTTCAGTGTTACACCCTGCTCTGCAGCTCAAAAGCCACAGACTCCTATAGCCCTCTAACAGAGTGCTCTTTGTTCTTCTCTCTCAGACCCAGTTTGAGCTGGCCTTTGTGGTTCGCTACAAACCTGACGAGCAGCCATCCCTCGTGCCCCACCACGACGCCTCCACCTTTACCATCAACATTGCCTTGAACAGAGTTGGCATTGACTACGAGGTGAGTGTCTGCCAGGGGTTCAGGAGTGCAGCACGCCACCTGGAGCAGCTGAACACTCTTCCCTGATCCACATCAGGCTTCTTTGTACTTGGGATACAATTAATGGCTGTAAGAATCCGTGCCTGGTGGGGTGTTCGGGTCCAATCCGGCTAGCTGTGGACCCCAGCCCACATGATCCTACACAGGACAAAAGGCAAAAGATGAGAAGTGCTCTTCTCCACGTGGGGACAAAGTCCTGATTTTATTTCCTTGATAGGAGACATCAGATCATCCAGGTGACCCCCCAGGTGAAAAAAAGAGAGCAATGCCTCATGGTGGGAGACTTTTAAACCCGGGGGAATGGGGGGTGGAGGAAGAGGACTATAGTGGATATTTTTGCCCCCGACGAGGGACAGAATGATGCATCTGACTCCATCTTATCAGAAGGCGAATTAATTACTTTGTTATACTATATTATTCTATATTATATTATATTACATCTAAACTGAATCTGCCAAGCACTCAACTCTGCTCACAACTGCACAGAATCCCATGACTCTCAGCCAACAGTCCCGACACACACACACACACACACACACACACACACACGGCCCTGACAGGCCAAGGAAACAAAACACCATCACTCTGGGTATCTCCATGTTGCATTCTACTTTGGCACAAACACAGGCACAGCAAATGAGATGAGAATTGTTTCCTTTCTCTTCAGAGAAATGTGAATCTCAGAAATATTCTTGGGAGGAATTGTGCCTTGCTTTTCTCTGTGAAGAGAAATGTGGCCACAGAGGACCACAGCCGATGGGATACAAGTGAGGAGGGGGTGGGAGGAGCAGTAAACCTGGGACAAACGTCACCACTGGGGCTTTTGTGGGAGGGAAAGACCATGTGGTATAAAAGGGAAATCCCATGAGGATACAAACATAGTATTCTGTGCAATAATACAGAGCCCAGTGCAAAACAACTAAATAACTATTCAGTGCCATACAACACCTGACAAGCAGCCATCCCTTATACCCCACCATGACACATCCACCTTTAACATCAACATTGCCTTGAACAGAGTTGGCATTGACTACGAGGTGAGTGTCTGCCAGGGGTTCAGGAGTGCAGCACGCCACCTAAAAACCCTTCCCTCATCTGTGGCCACATTTCTCTTCACAGAGAAAAGCAAGGCACAGCTTCCCAAGGATATTCTGGGATTCACATTCTCTGAACCTCAGAGAAAGGAAAAACTATTCTTATCTCATTTGCTGTGCCTGTGTTTGTGCAACAGTAGAATGCAATATGGAGATACCCAGAGTGATGGTGTTTTGTTTCCTTGGCCTGTCAGTGCCAAGTGTGTCTGTGTGTGTATGTGTGTGTGTGTTGTGTGTATGTGTGTGTCAGGACTGTCAGCTGACAGTCACAAGATTCTGTGCAGTTGTGAGCAGAGGTCTTGGCAGACTCAGTTTAGATGTAATGTAGTGTAATATAGTATAGAATAATATAGTATAATAAAGTAATAATTAGTCTTCAGAGAACATGGAGTCATATTCATCATTCCCCCCTGCCACAGGGTCACCTTGTTCCGATACTGATCCACATCAGGCTTCCTTGCACTAAGGATTACAATTAATGACTGGCTTGGGCTAGGAAAGAGATGCATGCTTTTTAAATGCATCAGAACACTGCAGATTCCCAAAGCACCTTGTCACATTTTCAGAAGTGCTGTCAGAAGCCAGGTACTGTGGTCGTGTTCAAGGGTCCCAGGACAAATGAAGAGATGAGAATCTTGACTCCATGTTTCAAAAGGCTGATTTATTATATTATGATATTATATTATATTAAAATGCTATACTAAAGCTATACTAAAAATAATAGAGAAAGGAAAGCATCAGAAGGCTAGAAGGGAATGGAATGGAATGGAATGGAATGATAACAAAAGCTTGTGACTCTCTGAGAGTCCGAGACAGTTGGACCGTGGTTGGTCATTAAGTAGAAGCAATCCACATGGACCAATCAAAGCTGCTCCTGTTGCATTCCACAGCAGCAGATAATTACTGTTTTTCTTTCCCTCTGAGACTTCTCAGGAGAAAAATCCTGGCCAAGGGATTGTTGATAAAAAAACCATGGTGACACAGGGACCCCTTCCCTGCGGTGCTTTTCCCAAGCTGCTGTGTTGTGTTCCCACCAGGGCGGAGGCTGCCGCTTCCTGCGCTACAACTGCTCCATCCGAGCTCCCCGGAAAGGCTGGACCCTCATGCACCCCGGCCGCCTGACCCACTACCACGAAGGGCTTCCCACCACCAGAGGAACCCGCTACATCGCTGTGTCCTTTCTTGATCCCTAGAGCTCTGCTTCCCAGCAAGGACCTTCCCCTGGCCCTGCTCGCTGCTGACGTCGAGTAGAAGCAGGGAATGTTGCTGAAAGTTCCTAAGGCGTTGTTCAGAGCTATTTGGATTTGATTTTTATATGATTTTAATATGATTTTTAATGATATTCTAAGACTCTGCTGCTGGAGGACTCCACTCTCTGATACTGCAGGTAATATCTAGGAGTATTGCTGTAGAAGTCCAAAGGAGATTTTGTGCCTTCATTTTTTATTCTGCTCCTCATCCATTGTTTCTTGAAAGTGCTGTTTACTTGAACTTTCATCAGTGATTCATTGGCTTTAAAAAATGTTTTTTTGGACTGAAAATCCAGCTTTTTGGAGGCAAGTTACAAGCTGGAAGCCTGTTTTCATCCATAACATATATGGGACTGGATGTTACACAACAATTCCTGGACATTATTCCAAATATAAACCAATCAGGGAGCTGACTCCAGGAGTCATAACAGTTAAGTGTCACACCAAATGAAACCTAGTTGGAAGAGCCTGAAGATCATCTGATTCTTTACCTCTTTGCTGTCCTTGCAAGCAAATCACAGAGTTCAAAGCAGCAGCAGTGGCAACATAGGTGCTTCTGGTTAGCTAAGGGAGTGTCCTCTGATGATGCTTTACCTCTGGGATTAGACTGAAGAGATAAAAGACCTCCTTACCTTCTGTTTCTCCAGCTAAGAGCAGCAGGCATACCCACAAAAATTCATGCCATGTCAATACGTAGATTAAATCTAAGAAAGGGAAGGCTGGGAACAGCTACATCAGCCAGGGGGGCTCCTCTGCAGAATTGTCTCTGTTCTGTACCATGTTACAATAGTCAAAGGCTCTAATCAGTCTCTGGATAACAACCCAGAGGTCCCAGTGGTCTTTGGTGGCCTCATTCCATTTGTCAGAGATTGTTTTGATAATTTTCTTTGATGGCCCATTCACATTCTCTGGTTCTTAGAGGAAATAATTATTCAGTGTTTCTATTATTTGAGATTGAAAACCAAAACACTCCATTGCAGAAACTTCTCCAATGGGGTCAAGGCTGATAGAAATGAGTGGTTGGGAAGTGCTGAGAGACTGTGGCAAAGCAGTAGTTGTAAAAATATGTCTAGACTAGACCTGTGGTTAGAGAGTGAAGGGGCAGAAACCTTTTCTGTCTGTGCCTGTGGGATACCTGCTCTGCTTATCAGACACCGTTATGCCAGACTAGTGTGTTTCACAAGCAATAAATTCATAGAGTGATTGTCCTTAGGGGAAAGAAAAATTATGTGCCTTTTAGTTGTCTGTCTCCAGCTTCTGCTGCCTGATTGTCAGAGTAGAGCCCTTCTCCGGGATGGGTCACTGAGGGGGCAGAACAGCTTTACACATGGAAGGGGACATGCAGCTTGCTTTCCTTCAGCTTTTTAGGTCTGTTTTGAGGCCATCCACTCACCCGTGCCCGGGAGAGAAAAATCCAGGCAGGGGCAATCGTTTGAGAAGTAAAACTGTACTGAGTCCTGGTGTGTGAGATCCAGAGCTGCCTGCTACCAAACGAAGGGATTGATCAGCCGGCCGTCGACAGGGCCAAAATGTGTGTTATGTATTTATTTAGCAGCAGGTTTTTTTTTGTTTTGGTTTGTTTTTTTGTTTTTTTTTTTTTTTTTTTGTTTGTTTGGTTTTTTTTTGGTTTTTTTTTGTTTTGTTTTTTTGGGGGTTTTTTTGTTTTGTTTTTTCTTTTTGTTTGCTTCTTTGGTTTTTTTTTGTTTTGTTTTTTTGGGGGTTTTTTTGTTTTGTTTTTTTTTTTTGTTTTTTTTTTTTTTTTTTTGGTTTGGTTTTTTTTTTGTTTTGTTTTTTTGCGGGTTTTTTGTCTGTGTGTTTTTTTTTTTTTTGTTTGGGTTTTTTTTTTTTTTTTTGTTTTTTTGCGGGTTTTTTGGTTTTTGGGTTTTTTGTGTGTGTGTGGGGGAGGGTTTTTTGGGCGTTTTTTGGTTTTGGGTGTTTTTTTTTTGTTTTTTTTTTTTTTTTTGTTATTTTGCTGTGTGTTTCCTCGGGCCGGTTCGGTGGTGGGCGTTAACGAGCTGTACGGTTTGAGCACGGGGAACTCGCATTAAACCCTTTCCCGTGACACGGTCTGTGGGCTCCGTTCCTGAGGCGGGCCCGGGCCGCCCGCCATCAGGCCCCCGGAACTACAACTCCCAGCGTGCCCCGCGCGCCGCGCGCGGCGATGACGCGCGGCTCCCGCACCTCCCGGGCGACGGCGCCGCGGGGTGACATGGCGGCCGTGCGGGAGCGGCGGTGATGGTGAGCCACGGGCGGGGCCGGGCCGGGCCGAGGGGACGTGACAGCTGCTCCAGGCCGGCCCAGTCTCTCTGAGGGTCGCCTCTGGAGAAGCAGGGATAGGGACAGGCACAAGGGCAGGGACGGGTGAGTGTCGGACCCTCTGGGGCAGGGTCCTGAGGGGGCGCGAGGCGGGCACGAAGAGGGCGCTTCCCGCCCTTTCCTCCCGCCCCTGGGGGCTGAGGGGAGGCGGCGTCCGACCGGAGCGTCAGCCCAGCGCCTTCTCCGGGCTCCGGTATGGCGGGGGAGCAGAGCCCAGAGCATCCCTGAGGCACACCGGCATGGCGGGGAGCAGAGCCCAGAGCATCCCTGAGGCACACCGGCATGGCGGGGAGCAGAACCGGGGCCATTCTCCGGGCACACCGGGATGGCGGGGAGCAGAGCCCGTGACGGCGGAGCTCGGTAGCCTGTGTCCGTCATCCGCGGTCACTCTGCCACAGGGGTGGAGACCGGCTGGACTCGGCGTCGCTGAAGGAGCTGCGGGACCGAGTGCGGCCGGGGCGAGGGAGAAGGCACGGAAAAGTGCTGCCATTTGTCTTCGAGAGGGCCTCAGGCTGGCCATGCGTGACTTGTGAAAACGTAACTCATCCTGAAAGTAAGCAGACGATGGGGAGGAGTGATCACTGCGAACCTGTTTATTGGAAGGGAGAAAGAAAGAGTTTTGGGTTTTTTTCCTGATGCAGGAGTTGTAAATTTTAAAGTGGAACAATTTTTTTTATGAAAGACAGAAGATAGTCCTTAAAATGCATATTTATCTAGTTCTTGTAAAGATGCTGGGTTGGATCACAGAGTCATGGAATGGTTTGGATTGGAAGGGACCTTAAAGATTATCTAGTTCCACCCCCTGCTGTGGGCAGGGCACGTTCTGCCAGACTGGGTGGATCAAGTCCTGTCCAACCTGGCCTTGAGCACTTGCAGGGATGGGGCAGCCACAGCTTCTCTGTGAAACCTCTGCCAGGGCCTCCCCATCCTCACAGGGAAGAATTTCTCCCCAGTATCCCATCTAACCCTGCCCTCTGTAGGTGGAAAGCCTTTCCCCCTCGCCCTGTCACTACACCCCCTTGGACAGGTGTTGGCACTTGGTGACTCTGGTCTTTGCTGGATTTTTCCCTGTAGCGCAATGTCCCTGTTGTTCACTCGTTCCAACTCAATAGTTGCAGTGAAGAAGGATAAAAGACACATGGCTGAGGTAAATGCTTCTCCACTTAAACATTTTGTCACTGCAAAGAAGAAAATCAATGGTATCTTTGAACAGTTGGCTGCATACATCAACGAGAGCTCCTCATTCCTAGAAGGTAATTTGAGTTCTTGAGCTATGAGTGTGTAACAGTGCTCTGCCTACATATGATTTCCCCCAAAATATGCACCAACCCCCTCAGTCAGTTAAACTGCACTGCTGAAGTGCTGCCTTAGCAGGGACTCCTGTCCCACCAGTCCTTGGGTAAGGGGCAGGGGACAGTGCCACGGGGAACAGGGAAGGGCTGATCCTAAGGGGACAGTACCTCAGCAGGGACTCCTGTCCCACCTGTCCTTGGGTAAGGGGCAGGGGACAGTGCCTGCACTACAGGACAGGGAAGGGCTGATCGGGGGCAGTGCCTCAGCAGGGACTCCTGTCCCACCTGTCCTTGGGTAAGGGGCAGGGGACAGTGCCATGGGGAACAGGGAAGGGCTGATCCTAAGGGGACAGTACCTCAGCAGGGACTCCTGTCCCACCTGTCCTTGGGTAAGGGGCAGGGGACAGTGCCTGCACTACAGGACAGGGAAGGGCTGATCCCAGGGAATCCAGCACCTTGGCAGGGACTCTCCTTCCACCTTCCCTTGGGGTGTGCAAACAGTGTTAATACTGATTAAATCTAAATACTGCTCAATCTGTGTTTATTTATACATGCATGTCTGTTTATGCATTCATGTTTGTAAGAAAAACCAAAAATTTGTTGAATTTGGGTGGAGTTCAAGTTCATATTTGAAGATGCGAAGTTCATGCATGTTAAGAAACTGAGCCAGTTAGGGAGCTATGCTTGGTTTTTATGTTTGGGAGATTTTTAATTAATGACACAACCCCAGTAGGTATTTTTTGCCTATAATCCTTTCACTATTCTTGCCTGAACACATCATTGCTACTGACATGTAACATACACCAGTAATTGGCTTTAACAGCTTAAGGCACAGACAGATTTTATCTCTAATGGTGTTGGACTGTTTGCAGTATTGGATGTTCTGTTCAAGGCAGTCCCAAGAATGAACAGTCATGTGTCCAGTTGATAAATCCTATTGTAAAATTGCTTCAGGGTGTCATTGCCTGTGTCAAGAACACCCATGCAAGCTGTGGGACACAGATAAATGTTAAGTGATACCATCACAGAGAGGGGTTTCACCCAGCTCTGACCCAGACAGCTTCTGGCATTCACAGACATGATCTATTTTGATTTTAGAAACACACAAGAATGCAGAGCTCGATCCTGTCACCACAGAAGAGCAGGTACTGGAAGTCAAAGGCTACCTGTCAAAAGTCAGTGGTATTAGTGAAGTGTTGGCAAGACGACACATGAAAGTTGCTTTTTTTGGGAGGTGAGTCACATGCTTGTGTTGCCTACACTTCCCATTCAGTAAAGCATTTGAGTACTGTAGCCACTAGTGCTTTAGCTTTTGCTTGTAATGTCCCTGATACAGGTGCTCTTGTAAATTGGAAACAAGTATTTTATCACATAATTCTTCAATTTGAAGAATTCTTTAAATAGGGAAATAGAAAAGTCTTTTTGCAGGTTGCCTCTGGCACCTAAATTGTTAATGGCTCTGATACAGCTTGGCTGTAGAGAACTTGCTTTTGTGACACTGAAATGAGCACACCTGGCTCTTGGAAGCCTGAAACTGTCCTTAATCTGACTGCAGGACAAGCAATGGGAAGAGCACTGTGATAAATGCCATGCTGTGGGACAAAGTTCTTCCCTCAGGAATTGGACACACCACTAATTGCTTCTTGCGCGTAGAAGGGACAGATGGACACGAGGCTTTCCTGCTGACTGAAGGTTCAGAGGAAAAGAAGAGTGTTAAGGTACAATTTACTTAAGCATAAGGTTAAGAGCTCTTCAGAAATGTCAGAAAAGGAAAGAAAAAAAATTCACAGTTAAGGATTTTAATCAATAAAGGAGTGGAGATGAAGAATGAGTCTTTGTTAGATGTAGGAAGTAAGGAATGAAGCAAGTTGCAGAATGGAGACTTGTTCATTTTATGGAAGAGATGATATGTTGTATTTGTTAGTGATAGCAGGGAACAATGACTCAGGAAGTTTTGAGTTTGTATAACTGATGGAATCAAAGACTTCCTGGTAATTCCTCAGTAACTTTTCTGACAGGAAAAATCTCTCATAAACTCTCACTAGCAGTTGCCTTTTTTCTAGGACACTCAAGAAGGTTTTATGTGGAAAACCTTCCAGAGAGAAAATAATTTGAACTTGGGCTTTATCTCAAATCGTCTGTGAACAGCCCTGAAGGAGGATAATTGTGTTAGTGGGTCTTGGCATACAGGAAATGTTATTTCCATCTTTTTGTAGACTGTAAACCAGCTGGCTCATGCCCTTCATCAGGATGAACATCTGAATGCTGGCAGCCTAGTCAGTGTAATGTGGCCCAATTCCAAATGTTCTCTCTTAAAGGACGACCTGGTGCTGATGGACAGGTGAGAAATAGCTTTCTTTCCTTTCCTGCTTATCACAGACTAATTATGGAACTGTTTTCAAAACATATTTAACAAACCTCAAGGGAATTGACCCTGTTCTAAGACAGTGACCAAAGTCCCTTGCTGTAATTAACAGTGCAATTTTCTTGGTCATTACTTCCTTTTAGCCTGTACTCTCTCACCTCAGGGCAGTGTAGCTCAGACATGGGAAATTAATGCTCTGAAAAGCTCCTATTAACTTCTAAAATTCTGGTTTTGCTGTATTCACAGCACAGTAATATCTCATTTCTCTCTATTTCTAGCCCTGGCATTGATGTAACCACAGAGCTGGACAGCTGGATTGACAAGTTCTGTCTTGATGCTGATGTATTTGTCCTGGTGGCAAATTCTGAATCAACATTGATGCAAACTGTATGTGCAAGTCCACTTGTTCAAGGAATTTGGCTAAAGGTTAAAAATATTTGACATATTAATGAAAAGAGGTTTTGTTTCATTTTCCTTAGGAGAAGCAGTTCTTTCACAAGGTGAATGAGCGTCTATCTCGACCCAATATATTTATTTTAAATAACCGTTGGGATGCATCTGCCTCTGAACCAGAATACATGGAAGAGGTTTGTGATGTGTTTAAACTGCTTCTCTTTGCATGGATATTATGGAGTGTGTTTTGACTCTGGTCCTTGGGGATACCATCACTGCTATGTGTGATGGTTTTACAGGTTGGATTTTTATCACCTTATTGTGGAGACTCTAGGGAACACAGACTAGTGATCTGGACATGACCTTTGAAATTGCTGAGCAGGAAGTCAAGAGTCTCACAGGGGCCCTTTGAAGTTAGAACGCTTTAGAAAACCTCTGGAAAATTCCATAAAATAGCAAATTTTTTGTTCATGCTTTTTTGGTAGCTTTAGACCAGCAGAGAGCATTTGGGTGCCTGGTCTAACCTTTAAGAGATGGATAATGTGGATTTAAATGCATGTGTGGTTTGTGGTTGTCCCTCAGGTGCGCCGGCAGCACATGGAGCGGTGTACTAGTTTCCTGGTGGATGAGCTGGGTGTGGTGGATCGAGCCCAGGCAGGGGATCGAATTTTCTTTGTGTCTGCAAAAGAAGTGCTGAATGCCAGGATTCAGAGGGCTCAAGGGATGCCAGAAGGAGGTGAGGAAAGCTAACAGAAACTTTCCATTGGCTTACAGGGATGAAAATAGAGTATCTTGTTGCAAAAAATGTATAAAATTGGGGTAGGCCAAATTATTAATAAGGCAATCACAACGGAAGGGGTGCTAAAAGACTTAGCACTTTTACGTTGGCTTCAGTGTAAAGCAAGAGCATTTCTTGATGTCCAACATCTGATTGCTTTGTCAAAATTTAAGTGATTGTTTTGTGCATTCCTTCTCTCAGGTGGAGCATTGGCAGATGGATTTCAAGTAAGAATGCTTGAATTTCAAAGCTTCGAGAGAAGGTTTGAGGTGAGCATTATGTGTGCCAGCCTTCTGGTTAGATTTTACTCCTGAAAGACTGGCACTTGTGGGGACATATTTTGGGAATAGATTGTACAGGAGGGAGAAACTGTGTTAGTAATAGTTCTGCCTGCTGCTGATCTTGGGCTGCCTTTTGTATACAGGAATGCATCTCACAGTCAGCAGTAAAAACAAAATTCGAGCAGCATACAGTGAGAGCAAAGCAGATTGCGGAAGATGTTCGTCTCATCATGGACTCCGTGCACGTTGCTGCCCAGGAACAGCGGTGAGAGCTCTGCTGGTGCTTGCAGAACTGCAGTTTATATTCTGGGAGAAATGTAAGGGAACATGAGGATTTGAAATGCAAAGCAGAATCCAGCATGTTTGTGAGCAGGAAGGACATTGGTGGTCTTGCTTCTAGTGAATTATGGAAGTATTGGGAAAAGGACCTTATTTTTTGCCATGGCTGTGTAATGCGTTGCAGATACTGACATGTTTTGTTGTTAGGCAGGAAAATTAGTCTTATTTCTGGAATTCAAATATATTTATAGATCAAAAATGCATGTATTTGGCATTTTGATGGACAGGGTTTTTTTTCACCAGAGTTTACTGTCTGGAAATGCGAGAGGAACGTCAGGATCGTCTAGGTTTTATTGACAAACAGCTGGAGCTCCTTACTCAAGACTACAAGAGGAAAATCAAGCAAATCACTGAAGAGGTGGAGAGGCAGGTGAGGAGGAGTGTCTGTGGAAAACTGGATTGTCTGAAACAGTTACCAGCATGGTGGGGGAAATGTGCAGTGCTGACAAAGCTTTGAAGTACTAAAAATGTGGGAGTTACATATGGGAAGAGGAGAAGAGCTTCCACAAGCTCTATTTTCTCTCCTGTGCTGTTTCTCTAGGTGTCAAATGCAATGGCAGAAGAAATCAGACGGCTCTCAGTGTTGGTAGATGAATACCAAGCAGACTTCCACCCATCTCAAGTAGTTCTTAAAGTGTACAAGAGTGTAAGTGATGTTTGCTTAAGCAATTTAAGAGACCTTTTTTAGCTCTGAGTAATTATGCCAGCTCATTGTTAGACAATCTCAATCTTCCAACTAGGATATGAGCTAAAGCTTTAATTTTTTAATAATCTCAGTAATAAATTGATACACATTATATATCATATTATATAGATTGAACAGAACTTTTCCTGAACTAAAGAGTCTATGTGAGTTTATTTTTTTATTTGCCTTTTCATCCCCTTCACTGAAAAATGTGGGGAGGTACGATACTAATGTTACAACACTGGGCAGACAGATTGTGTGCTCCTGTTTTGGGAGGCTCTTTTTAACTAGCAAGCTCTAGCACCTTCAGCCTGCATCTTAGCTATGTTTATTCTAATTTTAATAACCCTTTCTTTGTTTGTCAGGAGCTGCATAAACACATCGAGGAAGGCCTGGGCCGTAACATGTCAGATCGCTGCTCCAGTGCTATCACAACTTCCCTGCAGGCAGTGCAGCAAGAAATGATAGGTCAGTTCCACAGGCACTGTTGCCCTTTCTCTTCCCTTGAATTGCAATGTGAAATAAGTGGGTAGATGTTTTGGGTTTCTCATTAATCCAGTGGCTGATGTGCAGGTGACACCATCTTAGTTTCCATCTTGATGAGTAATGCTGTTGTGCAGAGGACTAGTTCTGTATCTGAACTTATGCAGTGAATATGTACAGTCACAGTGTAATCCTCATGACATAGTAAAACTGTGGCAGAATTTGGGAGATTCTCACACCAGATCCTAATGAAATACAAATTACTTGGAACTAGGTGCCTGTCTGAATATGGGACCATGGTGCCTAAAGAGCTGGGTTTCAGATTTTGATTTCCAAGGACATGTTAATCTGTAAACTTCACCAGCTACCTATAAGGATTTTGGAGGGTCCATGGAAAGATTTCCCTCTGGGTTAGTCTGAAGAACCAAGAATTGAATAATAATTCATGATGTATCTCTTACTTTGCAACATGCTTGGCTTACGGAATTTAACACACTAAGAAAACTGACTGTAGAGGATGAAACAAACTGTAAGCGCCTTGATTATAGAATACAAGACCAGTTAATTCTGGTGAACTCAACAGCTGGTTTTTTTATGTTTTTGTTTTCTCTCTGTGTAGATGGTTTAAAACCCCTCCTCCCAGTCTCTGTGCGGGGCCAGATAGACATGCTAATTCCCCGGCAGTGCTTCATGCTCAGCTATGATCTGAACTGTGACAAGCTTTGTGCCGACTTCCAGGAGGACATAGAATTCCATTTCTCTCTTGGATGGACGATGCTGGTGAACAGATTTTTGGGACCAAAGAATGGTCGTCGGGCCTTGATGGGCTATAATGACCAGGTAGAGTACCTCACTGAGTGATTGGATAGATATTCATTATTTCAATGGCTGCTGAAGTTCCTTTGGTGGGAAGAGCAGTAGTTCACCTCCTTTTATTCTCTTATTTGATTTTGTTTTGTCCCTGCTTTTCTAATTAGGTTCAGCGCCCCTTAACACCAGCAAATCCCAGCCTGCCTCCTTTGCCTCAGGGCTCTATGACCCAGGAAGAACTCATGGTGTCCATGGTGACTGGACTGGCCTCTTTAACTTCCCGAACTTCCATGGGGATCATCGTGGTTGGTGGTGTGGTATGTGTGCATTCTAGGTAGCATTTTTATAACTTAACTTGGAGCACTGATGTGAAAAGCTCTTGCACTGCCGAATCCTGTAGACATTTGCTATTGACAGATAGGGTTTTGTATTTCCTATTACCTGTTTTCTCCTTTGATCTTCCATTTGAGTATAGTGAGCTGATTTTGCAGTGCTCTGTACACCATTGTTGGGAGTGAATATCAGTCTGAGATGATGATTGTGTTTATCCTTGTGCTGCTTTAGGTCTGGAAGGCTGTGGGTTGGAGACTGATTGCTCTCTCTTTTGGCCTTTATGGGCTGCTCTATGTGTACGAGCGCCTCACCTGGACCACCAAGGCGAAGGAGAGAGCTTTCAAGCGGCAGTTTGTGGAGTATGCTGGGGAGAAACTGCAGCTCATCGTCAGCTACACGGGCTCCAACTGCAGCCACCAAGTCCAGCAGTGAGTTCCCTGTATTCAGCTAACCCCTTATGGAAATTCTCTTGTTTGGGGCTTTTTAGTGCTATTCCTTGTTTAAAAAAAGTGCTATTCCTTGTTTAACTTCATGCTGAATTCCAGATTTTCAAAAATGTAATGACACATGTTTTAAAATAATATTACTTTTATTTTGAATATGTAGTGTTTGGGTGCTGTTAGGCATTAGTCTTAATATACTCCATGTCTCAAATCAAAATTCTCTGACATATTCTTGTACAGAAGTGGAAAGATGAGTGTCTGAGTCATGATACCATTATCCCTATATATCAAAGGGACTTATTCCTTGAATGTGCTGCTTGATCTTACTTTCCATTATACTCAGCTCTTCTTGTTTCATAGAGAGCTAGCTGGAACGTTTGCTCATTTGTGTCAGCAAGTGGATGTCACACGAGAGAATCTTGAGCAAGAAATTTCTGCCATGAATAAAAAAATAGAAGTTTTGGATTCACTGCAGAGCAAAGCAAAACTGCTCAGGTGAGATTTGATTATTCCATACAATTGTTTTTTGTGTGATTGCCCCAGGATGTTCATGTGAGCTGTAGCTTAGAGTTCATTCTGTCTTCGTCACAGCACTTGATGTGCAGGTGTCAGCACTTTTCCCTACCAAGTCATGTTCCTTTTCACTAGGTACTTTCCTATGGACTGTTGACAGTTTAAATAACTGTCTCACTTCTGTCTCACAAAGCACCTTTTTCTCCCTGTTTTTTATTTTTTTGGAATTACAGCTCCTTCCCATTTATGAAAACATAGTGTTCCACTCCTACAAACTCCTTCAGGCCCCTATAAAATTATGCAAAAAGTCTTGCCTTCACCTATGTACCCAGTTGTCTCCTGCTTTCTTTACCCTGCAGAGGCTGTTGGGAAGACTTTTTCAAACATTCCTTACCTACACCGCAAGACCAGTGTGAAGTTGTGTCCAAAATCTCTGTTTAAACCTCAAAGCTTAGGGACTAACAGCAGGCAAGCATTCTTGACCTGCAAAGGAATGGCAGCAGCCTTTTGGAATGAAGTTCTGGCACTCCATGCCTTGCTGTGTACTCATTTTTGTTGCACTTCTTTCTGACTGGCTTGAGAAGAGCTGTTTCATTCACCTAACAAAACTTTCTGTCCTTGCAGGAACAAAGCAGGTTGGCTTGACAGCGAGCTCAACATGTTCACACATCAGTATCTGCAGCAAAGCAGATAGTGTGAGAAAAAGAGAAAAACAGCAGTTTCCCTTCAGTGCCCTCTTATTTACTGCAGAGAACGTGGTGGGTGATGGAATTCCCTAAAGGGAATGAGCAAGAGCATATTGCTGTGTTTCCAGTTGCTGTGTGAACAGTAGGATTCTGCTTCCCTGTTCTGTGTCCCACCTCTAAACACTACCTGTTAATAACTTCTTTTTCCTTGTGAGACCAGGCTACTTCAGGAGGAGTGTGTGCTTTATACATTTACAGGGGGCTTTTACTGTACTTCATATTGCTTAAAACAATTTTAAAGCAATCAAGCAAATGTCTTTCAGGTTAAATGTTATTCTGACACATCTTTATGGAGGCATTTGTTTTACTTCATAAAGACAGAACTTTTGACTTCCAAGCCCCAGGTAGACGTATGTGTGACAAGCAGTTGTTTGCCTAAACACAGATCCCACGCACACAGACATGATGGTGGTTTCACAAAGCATTTATAGCCCACACAGGCTTGTCTCTGAGGTTAACATTCCGTTGTTCTAGAGCATAACAGAAAATCACAATGTCACTGCATAGAAAGGTTTATTGCTCTCAGGATGCTTAAACCTGTGAACAAAACCCAGTTCTCCTCTGGAGCAAAAGGGATTAAGATTTTCCTTTGGTAAGCTTAGTGGATTTGGAGTTAGTTTCTTCCTCTTCAGAGCTCGTTAGTAACACAGTCTGGCTTATTTCCTGTCATGGACAAATAGTTTGCAAAGACAGAACTAGTTCCTGGGAAGGAGATAGTGCTGATAATTTGGCAGCTTGTTGAAGAAGAAAACTAGGGAAGAGAAGCCAGTTGACACAATGCAAAGCACTGCATTATGAGCTCTGTTGATGAATGTGGGGCTTTTTTTGGAAGAGCACAGCTGTCTTTCTGGAAGCAGGCCTGTGGAATTCCATTACCACTATTTGGCCACAAGAACAGCATGTGGATTACACGCTGTAAGAGATGTTGCTTCATGTAGAGTTCCCACAGGATGTACAGTCTGGGCAGCAATAGGATTTGATATGTTTCTCTTCTGTTAAAAGTATTAGAACATGCTGGCAGGTACAGCTCCTCTGGGGTGGGGGGAGTTGTGGCTCTTGTAGTTCATGCCAGGGCAAGAATGACTTAAAGCAATTTAGTTTTTTTAATACACTCTTTATTTGCAAATACATGAAATTAATTGTTGAGTTTTGCCCTGATGCATTTGGAATATAATATATGGGAATTGTAAGGACTTGAGTCTCTTCCAGTTGGAATTTGCAGAGAAGAAATTCTGGCTGATTTCAGGAGCTTGAGTAGGATTAAGTTCCTCTATTGCAAGCTTCTTTTTCTCCTTGTGGGTCAGTATTTTGCCATGTGTTGGTTATAATCTTTCTGTTGCCTACAAAATGTCTGAGGAATCCAGAATCAGATCTTGTAGTTGTGAGGTTAGTGACAACCTGTACCTCTTCAGCATCACACACACAGAATATGGGCTGTCTTTGAGCAGGTCCCAGCTGAATTCAGAACTACTGAGCAGTGGGGTGTTTTTCATATTGACAAAGAGACTTTTCCCTTGAAAATGGCTTTAGGATTTCTCATTCATGCTCAGGTGTGAATGTATGTGCCTGTGATAAGTCCCATGTTTTTCATAGCATGGAACTTCCAGAAAGAAGCTGCCTGATACTTGAGAGAGTAAAAATAGTGAAATGTCAGTAAGTACTTCTTAGGTAAGGCTGTTCTGAGATTTGCAGAAACACTTGAGGTATCTTCATTGTGTAGGAGCTGGTGGTGAGACATCCCTAGAATGCAGAAAGGAAACAAACCTTTCCCTTCCAGTAGAAAGCTTTGACTCCAACTCAGACCGAAAAGCTGTTTCTGTCAGAAGGTTTTTTTGACCTTGACTGGGTTCCTCAGACATCCACCAGGATGGGAATATAGATTTGATCAAATCTGAGAACAAGCAAGGAAGAAGTTAGAGTCCTTGCTTTTGGAAGTGGGTACTCTGAGCTTGAGGTGAAGTATATTGGAGTAAGTGGAATAATCTAGTCTTACTCTGCTGCAGGTCTTGGTTGAATAAATTTGAATCTTTAGTCTCTCAAGCTGTCACATACACAGCTATAATAAGCTATGTTCTGTTCTATTGAGTTCAAATGCTAAGCACGTCCCTAATACTCAAGGATATTGTCAATTCCAGGTCAAGGCAGAGGTGGTGTTCTGCTGCTCAGCAGCTCATGACTACTTGCTTTTGATGAGGTAGTGTTCTCTTCAGCTGGCCTTTTAGGGGAAATCTGATAAGTGAGCTGATCTTTAAGCCAGTGTCTTATCTGTGAAGGGAAAAGAGATTGATGGGTTCTTAGAACCCAGTGTCTTGCTGCTGTGTGTGTGATGCTGCTCAGGCCCTGGTGCTGTTGACATTCTCACTGCAGAGCTGAAGCCTAACCTACAGAATGGGGGAAAGAACCTCTTGAACTTTTTCAGAAGCAAAACTGCTAACATATGTGGGTGTAATCCTTGTCCTGGAAGCCCAAGAGATTGAGAATCAAACAGGCCTTGTAAGCTGGATTCCTCTGAAAAAAATTACAGCTGTACTTCTTTAATTGAGAGTGGTGGAGGAATGAACACTATCATGAGTTTGTTCTCTTCTGATTTTTGTAAAGAATGCTAAACTATTCCTTAAAACAGGTAATTCCAGAAACAGTCTTCCCCAAACTCCCATTTAAAGAAGGTCAGCTAAATGCACTTTTATCTGATTGCTGCTACTTACTTTTCCTGTTGCATTATGTTGATGGAGCTCTTCGAAATACTCTTACCAGTGAGTTTTCTCTCTGCTGTATTTAAGGTGATAAATTTGCATGAGTTAGTCCTGTAACAGTGCTGTAAAAAATGGAAACCAAAATAAAAATGAATTGGAAAAACATTTCTCCTGATGTGTCCTGCATGTTGTGATAGTCTTCCAGTGTAAGTATATCAGCTTACATCAGTATGTATAGCTTTGTTGCTTTGTGTTACTGAATTGCATGTTAGACACTAGTGACCTTTTTCTGTGTTCTTACTTTGAAAATTAACGAGGAGACCAATGACACTGAATTGCCTGATAGAAAGTTTTAGTCGCACTAAAATTGTCAGTATTGAATCAATGATTTCTTGAGAATATTGTAGGAAATAATAGTGAGCAACTACTGAATTGATGGCCTGAAACGGGTGGATGAGTATCCTCAGCTGGCGAGTTACATGGGGCCAGTTAGAGAAGGCCGGATTTCCCGTGATGAGTTTTCAAAACAACTCCTTTGGGCTCTGGGGGTGCTGGGGGTACGTGTCCCTTTTGACACGGAGCGCTGGGGGCAGGGTGGTGCCAGGGCTGTGTCCCGAGCTCTACCCGGCACCTGCAGGCCGGGCAGGGACTCTGTCCCGAGCACTACCCTGCCTCCTGTAGCCTCCGGCCGGGCAGGCCCCGCAGGATCGAGTCGGGGCTGTGTCTCGAGCTCTACCCCGCCTCCTGCAGCCTCCGGCCGGGCAGGCCCCGCAGGATGGTGCCGGGGCTCTGTCCCGAGCTCCACCCGCCTCCTGCGGCCGGGCCGGGCCGGGCAGGCCCCGCAGGATGGTGCCGGGGCTCTGTCCCCAGCTCCACCCGGCACCTGCAGTCCGCGGCCGGGCCGGGCAGGGGCTCTGTCCCGAGCTCTACCCCGCCTCCTGAAGCCGGGCCGGGCCGGGCAGGCCCCGCAGGATGGTGCCGGGGCTCTGTCCCCAGCTCCACCCCGCCTCCTGCAGCCCGCGGCCGGGCCGGGCAGGCCCCGCGCATGCCGGGAGCCGTGGGCCGGGCCCGCCCGCTCGAACGGCCGCGCCGGGGCCGCCCGGGGGAATCCCAGCGGCGGCCGGAGCCGGGCGGGCATCCCCCGACTGCCGGAGCCGGGCGGGCTTCCCCCGGGGCGGCGCAGGTGGGCCGGGAAACGCGGGGACTCGGAACGCTCAGCCCCGGAGCCGCAGGGCCTGGCGGGACTCGCGGGCTGCCCGCACTGCCCGGGAGGGAGGGAGGAGTTCAGCGGTGTCTGCCGGCTGCCGGACCGGCCTCTTGGGTCGGAAAGGGGAGTTTAAAATGCTCGGGCTCTCTCGCTCGTGACCGCGGCAGGCCCGGAGCAGCGCGTCTGTGCAGGAGCAGCGCGGGGTGCTGAGCAATCTCCTCGCAGGGAGGAAGCTCAGCTCCCGAGACAACCGTTGTTTATTGCTAACTGCGGGAGGCGAAGCTCCTTTTCAGAAAGATTTCAAATTACAGCAGTTACATAAACCTGAGACCCCGGGGCTGGACATGAAGGACCTGTAGATTATGCCAAGAGTGGACCTCATCTGGTAAAACCCTTCCAGAAAGTCCCTTGACTGATGTTATTTTCCGAGTATTTGCTTTCTGATGAGCAATGATGAGTGGATGCTTATCAAATCTATTAGCTTTGTCCTGTGAAGGCTGTGAGAACTACTGTTTTTTTTTTTAAATTGTCTCAAATTTAGTGCCTCAACACTGATATTTCTATTTTACGTTTTGTAGTGCACCTCTCCCTTATTTTTGTAACAAAGAGGTGTTGTAGTTTGTTGATAGTTAGCACTGCTCTTGATTCCTCCCACTACTGTATCACATGTGCATTTGGTTCCTCATGTCCAGTTGCCAAGGTAGCAGATGCAAAACCAAATTAGATGAGCTTTGCAGAAGGTTTTAGGGATCCTTTAGAAAAGGTCACAGAGAAACAAATAGTTTTCTTGAGAACATAATTTATCAGTCTAGTCAAAAGCAGTGTGGGAGCTTGGGTTTAGGGTTTGCAGCTGTTTTATTTAAAAATCCACTTTCTGCAAATTTAGAGGAGCTTGTGATATTGTAAAGATGTTGAACAGTGTGACAGCCTTTCAATCAAACTAGGTTTTATTTATTTATCTGTTTATTAACTCCTTTTCACCTCCCTCTTCTAATAAAAGGGCATCCCTTTGTGGGATTTAATTTAATTTGTGGGATTGGAATTGCCTGAACTGTAGTTCTGAATCGTAGTTGAGCCTTTTTGGAGCCTTCCTGCCCAGGGAACATGGAAGACAGCTTTGACTCTGTATTTCTTTTGGATGTAGCAGATATATTCATGTAATTAGTTATATTTTAAACTTACAAGCATCCTGGTGTTATCACAATATAAATTTCAATGCTTCAAAAGAGCATTACAGCAGAATTGCATAAGTGTGTCCTAAATAACGACCTCTAAACCAAATTTTGTGTAGCTTTTTGATGTGAATTTTTAGCTTATTTAGCTTTTTGGTGTGAATTTTTCGTGTTTACTGTTTTCTCTGTCAGAGTTTCTTTTCTCCATTAAGTCAGCTCCCAGTTTCTGAGTGCAAAATATTTGGCAGTATGTCCAAGGGGAGAGAAGCATCTCGTGCTGGTTCTGAGCGTAAGGAGTTTTGAGACTGGCTGATTTCTCAGGAGCAAGAATCAACATTTCAACAGCTGTAAGTATTTTTTTAGGAAAAGTCCCCTGAAAGTGTGTCTGCTTCTAATGTCATGAATTTATGTAGTTCACTCTTCTTCTTTAATTACATTAAAATGTTTTTGTAGGATGGACTCAGAGCTCCTGAACAGGCTGCGCCAGGCCAACCAGGAGCTTCTGCAAAGGCTGAGAATAAAGCAGGAGGAGATCAGAAAAGGACTTCCCAGCAAGAAACGCCTTCCAGCAGCTCTTCATGGCAGTCCAGCTGCTGAGAGATGGATCCCCTTGTCCAGCAGAGTGGTATGTGTGGTGTATGTGCTAGAAATTCAGGGAGCAAACGGGCCCCTATGACAGACTGCAGCTCTGCCTATGGTTTGCTGTGGTCAAGGAGACACATGGACATGAAAGAGCTCTTAGAAAGTGGTATGTGGAATATAGAGTCTGTTAGAAAAGTCCTTTGGTTATTGTTTACTCTATCTGTTCTTCTGGTAAAGGGTTTGGAGATCAGTTCTGCCTAAGAAAGGCAAGTTTCTTCTCCTAAGATAGGAATGACCATTGTTGAACAAAATCCTTTTGTTTCTTCTAAGCACAAGGGCTGAAAGTTCAATGGTTCCTCAGATCAGGAAAAGCTGCATTTAGCTGGAAGTGGATCTCTTTCTTATACTCTCCAGGACTTTTGTTTTTCCCCTGCAGGAATTTAAAGGAGTGAACAGACTAGAATGAGAGGTTGATTTAGTGAGTGAAATGTTCTTACAAAAGGTATTTGTAGTCTGGCTGATGATACGTGTTAAGAGAGTCTGTCCTTACAGAAGGAAAATGAGGCTGATGCAGTAAAATCTACAGCTGACCCTGGAATAATGGTGTCTGTGGAATCCAGAGGTGGCCCAGCCCTCAGCTCATCTCTTAAACACAGCAGCAGTGCCAGAGGGCTACAGCAACAGCAAGCAAAGGCACAGGAAGGAGCAGGCCTCAATTCCAACCTTCCTGGGAAAGGGAAGAGTGTTGTGCCAGTGTCAGCAGTCACTACGTGTGGCAGAGAAGTCTCCAGAGTGGATGGGGATGGTGGTGCTCAAGGAAGTCCAGAGAAAAAATCCTTCTTCCTGGGACATGGAGAGAACAGAAAACACTCTGCTCTGCTGCGTGGTTTCCATGGGAAAAGTCATCCAGGGCCATCACAAAACAAAGACACCAGTAAGAAGCAGGTGGTCACCAAAGAGCCCCGTGTCCCTAAATCAGCCCTGCTGATGTCTCCATCCAAACAGCCGAAGGTAAATGTTAAACCAATGCTTTTCTTATTTTCCTAAGTCAACAGAGTGATGAGGAGGAAGGGCCAGGTGAATGTTACCTGTTCCCACTGTGTAAATTGGAAGTTGGGGTCAGAACTGTTCCCAGCTAAAGCAGCCAGGGGCTGTTGGCAGTTTGTTCAAGCCCTGCTTTCCTTAGCCAGTGAACTGAGATCCAGAAATCCCTAACACTTCACTGTGAAGTGTTGTCTGTCTTTTGCATATGTCATCCACATGCTGAGGGAGAGCAGGCAGGGGCAGTGCTGCTGTTCCACAGTTTGTCTCCTTAGGCATGCAGGGCAGGCCCTGGCTGTGATCATCCTCCATAGCAGCCCAGGTTGTCTCATCTTTGGCAGTGTGTGATGCAGCTCAGCATTTTGTTTAAAGCTCTGAAAAATCCTGCCTTACTTGGGCAAGTCCCTGCCTCCTCTTTCTGTTTTATTTACTGACAGGACAAAGAGCTGGTCAGCAGATTACTGGTAGAGGCATGGATGGAATCCAGTCTCAAACTAAGCCACAGCTGTCCCATCTGAACAGCTTTGGGTTGTCTCCTCAGCTGTACCTTTGAATGTCCTGCCAGGTGATTAGGAAGTCGTTCTGAATTGTTTTCTTTCAGAAGGAAGCTCGTCATGTGACTTTTCAGTCTGACCCTGAAGAAGATGCCATACCTGTCAGCAGCTGGTCTGCCCATCCTTTACTGGGCTATGACTGGATTGCAGGTGAATCCTAACTCTGAAGCAAAGCTCTCAGTGTGTTGTGGTGATATTTAGAGTTAAAACACAGTTTATGACCCCTTTGGGGTGTGATGGAACTGCTGTCCTGGGGCCAATGAGCTGGTCCCAGCAAAGGGGCTGCAGCTTTGTCTGAGGCCCCTCTCCAGACTGGAGGTGACCTGTGCTTACCTGGAGTGGTGAAGTGGCAGTGATATGGGAATTCAGGCAGCAAATGGTGAAGCCTGGTGAGGCCAGAAGGGATACCAAATACCTGGAATGGATGAATGCAATAAGGGACCCAAACCACACAGTAATCCTCTGGCTTGACATGATGTTCTGCCCTTCTCATTATCATTATTTTGTTTTGACTGTATCTTGTGAGGCTTGCTTTGGTAATTTCCCAAATTTTGTAAATCACTGAACTCTTCTCTTTCCTTGGTCTTCTCAGGGCTTCTTGATACAAAG